CTGCTTAGGCTGATCACTTAGCTTCCCTCACTCGCTGGCTGCCACCCTGGGGCACTCAGTGTCTTCTCAGCTGACCTGCAGTCTCTTCTGGACAGTGTGGTTAGGGTGTGGAAAGAAACAGATTCTGGATCTTGGTTCCTTTCTTGTCTCTTTTCTTTTATACTTGCCCTCAGTTTTTGTGGATTCTTTGTGCCTGAGAGGGCATTTCCCACCTGTCACTTCCAGACTCTCAGGTTGGGAACATCTAACTGAAGTCCTGCTTTGATGGGATGGAAGTTGTCTGTGGTGCAGCAGGGATAAAGGAGTCTTTCCATTTGAAGAGTTTGCTTTGGATGTTAGTTATAAAATCCTAGCAAGGTATGGTGGTATTTTTGAGAGTGAATAGTTTCCCAGTTAAAGGGACAAATAACAAATGAACAGGTACATTTGGTAGACTTCATTGGAGTGATTCCTTAGACATCTGTCTTCCTGAGTCAGGGCAAGAATCTGAAAGCTGGTGTCCTACTAAACATCCTCCCTACCCCCAAAATCAAATGTGCAGCTTCATATACAGAAGAGGAGGAAGGTAAGACATAGGAAAATCTTTGAAAATAGCATTCCACTGATGAACCCTGGTTGATGTGGGCATATTCCCCTAGATTGAAGCATTGCTGTCATTGTCCTTAGTTTCCAGGAAAGAACTTTAGGGGTAGTAATCCCTAACTTTGCCACAAAGATTAATCTTGTAATGCACAATCTAATAAAAGCTATTGTCTGGGTTACTTTTCTGTTTTTCTTATCTCTGGTAGTATCTGTCTGTGCTCCTTCCTTATTAGAGATGTTTTTCACAAGCTTTAAGTTTCTAAAATAGGTTAATTTCTTCCTTCACCTGCTTTCAAAAACTGGTTAACTATAACAACCTTTTTCCTTTTGGCTGTATCTTCCCTACCTTATTCCTGACACAACAGAAGGGCCAAGATGCTGGGTTTTTTGTGCAGTCATTTTGTCATGGCTGCTGGGAAGTTTGTGACAGGGCGTGTCATAGATTATAATTTCTGTGCACCCTGTAGTGCAAGACTGTATTTGAAGTCTGCTCCTAAAATCAAAATGAAGAGTTAGTTACTTGCATCATTCCTTCATAGCGCATAGTGGTTTTCCTGTGAGCTTAATTTTCTTGGAATGCATAATTATCAGAGGTTTGTCTGATCTGTGTACCTTCCCTGAATCATAAAAATCTGTATTGTCTTCCTGTATTCATTGTAGGAAATAATAGAAAAAATAGTAAAGTGAAGCAATTAATCACAGACTGTATATCATATGCATTATTATTATTATTATTTTTATCTTTATCTTTCTGAAAACATTCAGAAGAAATGAATTAAACCTTGTGAGAAAGAACACACGACCCTGTCTTGGTAAGGTGAAGCTGGGATGCTGAGAGTTTGTGCTGTGGGCTGAGGTCTGTTCCAGCATGTGCAGCACAAAGAGAGGCAGAACCTCTCTGCTGTCACTGAGAGTTGCTGCTGGGATTAGTCTGATGGCAAGGTGGAGAACGAGCAGTACATCAGGAATACTAACACTGACGGTCGATTCACCAAAACCAGGACCTGGGTCACCAGCAGACACTGTCCAGATCTTCCAGTGGTTTTAGTGTAACAGCAGCCCTCCTTTTGCAGCTGCAAACAGAGGTAGGCAGCCCTTGTACAGGTGCAGAGCCCCTTTACCCGTTCCCAGTCATTAAGTCATGTCACCTCCCTACTGAAAATCAAGCTTGAAACTTGTGTATAGCGGCAGCATTGGGTTCACTCTGGTCATGGCAGGAAACATGTGCAACAGTTGAATTATGTCTCACAGATGAGGTTTGAAAACTCCTGTCTTCTTGTTCCTCACCAAGAAAAAAGTATTCTTTTTTTAAAACAATATTTTAGTTTTAAGCTCAGGAAGTCATTGAAGCTCATGGTGGGAAGTGATTACATTTCTGTGTTTATAATTTAAACACTGAGAAATAATGAAAATTTTAGATGGTCTGTTTTGACTTGCCAGAATGAGTGGAAAAAATTAAAAGTTTGTCAAGACTAGAAGTATTTTGGGGTAAGAAATTATTAAAGTGGCTGTAAATTTTTTTTTTTTACTTTTTTGTTTTCAAACAAAGGGTGATTTGTTGAGAGATTGAGTGTTTGGATCAGAACTTTGAACGATAAGACATTTTTGTGAAGACACTAGCATTTTCAATGACTTAAAAAAAAAAAAAATTCCAGGTCTTGCACATAGAGATGAGGACCTAACAAACTGTTGATAAATGTACTGATAAAATTGGGCTGAAACACTTATTTCATAGTGTTTGTCTTGTAATAGTAAAAAGAGGCAGCGTTTATCTGTTTTAACCAAATTATCTTGGAGATTGTGAGGTGCTGGATGCTACACAAAACCTATTCTTAAAAAGTTGATGAGATCTAAAGGAGGGAGGGAGGGTAAGGGAAGGCAACAAAAGTGATTGGAGTGACTTGCCCATAGCCATCTACCATGTCAGGAGCAAGGAAAGGAGGGACAGCATAGGTCTTTCAGATCTATCTGATCTGCAGGGATCTGGATCCCATTTTCACCTCCTATGTCCTAACCACTCTTCCCTGTGTTAGTGACTATTGAAAGGAGGAGACACAAAGCAGAGGGCAAGGACTGAGCAGAGAACAGAATAGGAACTCCCCTTGATAGGGCTAATTAGTCTGCATGTTGCCGCCATTTGGTGGTCCATGCAGAGCTTTTCACTGGCAAGTGTTTTTCAAAGGTTAAAGGTACAACAAGGCAGACTGCCTTTTTCAAACCACGAAATGCAGTTTCAGATGTGCCTGTAGCCTTTAAACCATACCTGGTGAGAACATCACCCCTGGCAACGTTCACACAGGTGGCTGGAAATACAGAGTGTAAAAATTACTTCAGGGATTTATTTAGGAGACCAGAGTTAGTTCTGATAGTGTAACAAACGTTCTTTTTCCCTGTAATATGGGATGTGTTGGGAACCGTTGTTTAAAAATTCATAGAAATCCTGTTTAAATAACAGAGTCAGTTGGGTTGATGCAGTATTTATTCAGATGCTGAACAGCTTACCCTTCCTTCCCCTCTACTCATGCTCCAGGTGGGAGGGAGCTCCACTCAGTACATTGCCTTTGAAACCACAACTTTCATTCACCTTCACAATGAGCCCTGGTCCACAGGGAGGCTTTGGTGACTCCCTTTGACTTTGTTGGGAGCTTGGTGTCAGAATAAACCACGGACCAGAGCCTCTTTGTGTCACTTTGGCTGTGAGAAAGAACCTTATGTCAACTGAGCACAGAGAACATTAAGCGAGTAGTTTTGCATTGGTAAATAGTTCACCTTTGGCAGTAGGGATGATTTACAGTACTGCCCTCCCTCCCTTCCCCCTCATCCTCGCTCTGTGAACCCATCTCCTCACATCTGCCAGTGCAGCTGTTTGTATGGCTTCTCTCTGGGCAGGAGTGGAAGCCAAACCGGGGCTCAGAAGCAGACAGAAGTGGTGGTTTGGTTTTTGGCAAGTTGATTTTAAGCTGGGCGAGCTCCTTTATCACAGTCACAGAGCAGCCACATCTGCGTTTGTGCTGACAGGGCTGAGGGAATGGTGTGTACTGGGATTGCCACCAAGAATTTGTCTTGTGGAACCACAGCCTGTGCCAGGAGAGAAGGGATTGCCAACACAGAACTAGCACCTAGTGTAATGAGGCAACCGTAAGGAGCCTTGGCATGAACGGAGACTAGACCCACAGATACCACAACAAAAACCAACAAGGAACATGCTTCCAATGAGCAGTTTAAATTTCCTTTTTTTTTTTTTTTTTTCCTCTTTTTTTTTTTTTTAAATTAATGCACAGAAAGGGTTAAAAAAGTGGGACCCTCACTATATTATCAAGTGGAGGAACCAGGAACTCTTGCTGTTCTGATGCTCCTTGTTTCTCCAGTCCCTTGGGAATGGCTGATGTTTGCCAGGAGAATCAGAAACTTATGAAAGGAGGACTCAGGAGGGTGGCAGTGGCTGTGGGCTGCTGCAATTCTGCTCTCAGGAAGAGCATATTGCCCGTTTTATTTTTGCACCACTTTCTGGCATTACAAAAGTGTCTTACAAATTTTACAGAGGAAGGGGAGAAAGGAAGAAAAGGGGAAAGGGCCCAGGTATGCTGGCCTAAGGCTCTACAGTCCTGTTTGTCCTCTGAAACTCTTCCAGCTCTGACTTCCTGTCCATTGCAAGCTGGAGCTCCTTCTTGATGATTTCGATCTGCTTCTCCAGCTCCGTCAGCTCTTGCATCACTGAGGTCCTAGCCATGCTGAGGGACTCCGCCTTCCCGTTGGTCGTTAGAGAAGCAGGAGGGTCTCTCCTCACCTGTGGCAGGGGGATGTCCTGGTGCTGCCGGGTGCTCACCTCGTTGTGCCCCTCGTCGGCGCAGGTGTATTTTTTCCGGTGGCAGTTGCCCAGACTGGCCATGTTCCACACAGCGTGCTGGCTGTTCCCTGCGTGGGACCTGAACAGAGAGGTGACAGTTAATGTGGAACTGGACCCTACTCTTCTGCGGAAGCAACCCTCCCCTGCGAGCCATCCTACTGGAAAAACAGGATGCTGCTATTTCTATTACATAGAAATATTATTCCTTCATCCCTGGAATTGCTTTCTTCTTGAGGAGCACAAATCACAAATGTAAATGGCTATATTTTTGTGATTAAACCGTAGCAGAGACTAGAATAGAACCTTATAATTCATCTTACCCAAAATGTTCTTTTTGTTGATGTGAGTCCTCCAAAGCTTTCTGAAAGTGAAGTACTCCTTGTGCTTTTTGTACAAAGCACATTATTTCTGATTTGAGAGATGGACATGATGATGCATATCCAAAACATGCACGTACAGACACAGGCGTCCCTTCTGCACAGTGAGGGTGGTAGGGCACTGGCACAGGTTGCCCAGGGAAGTTGTAGATGCTCCATCACTGGAGGCATTCGAGAACGGGCTGGATGGCAACTTGCACAACCTGGCCTGAATGTGTCCCTGCCCACGGATTCTACCCTTTACAAGCATAAAGATATCACTTGAAAAAACAGGTGGGTTTTCTTCCTTGAGGAAAACAGCAGTAGCATAATATAAATTCTTTCCACCTCTTTTCATCATGGTTTTGTTTTTAATTCCACATTTCTCAGCAGGCATAAAAACTATAATAATATAACTGATTTCAGAACTGTGGGTTATACCTTGTCACATCAGTGTTCATGATAAGCTGGGCACCATGTTACTAAGTGTCTTGAGTTAAATTCCCCATAATTTTATGCAAACAGCAGCTCAGACCATGAGAAGAGCAAGGATGGTGAGTGGGTGTGTATGTGCAGACATGGGTTGGAAGCTGTGTGGGCACAAGTTTTGGGGCAACAGCACATCTCTCTCAATGTTAATATTTGTGTGGTTCTTTTTCTAAGCCATTCTCCGTGGGTCTTATGGCCACCTTATGAAATTCTTGCACTGCTCAATACCTGGCAGATAATTCAGCTGGTGCTTTTTCTATCATCAAAGATACAGAGAGACCTCTCCTCTGGAAGACTTCTCTGGCTAGGTTAGCACCTTGTGAATGCTGCCAGCGAGGAAGGTGTAGAAGGAGAAAATGTTTTGCACCCATCAGCTCCTGGTACTGCTGTTCAAAGACTGAAATCGAGGAGTTGCTGCATGTGAGGAGGTCCCACAGTATGGGGTTTTGTGGGGCAATGAGACGAAGGAATTAACCGTGGAAATCAATTGCATGCACTTTTATACATCTCTCTATAGACAGCCTAGAAGCTTACAGATGCAGGAATGGCAAAACAAACACAACATACATTTATATATGTGGGCTTCAGTCATGACGAATATCTAGCAACAGCCTAAAAGACATTTTTTTCCTATAGTCTGTGGCTGAAGTTATCTCTAGAAGAGCAATTCTGCTGCCTGTATCCTTAAAAAGTGCACTAATAGTTTTGAGTTACTGAGCAAATTTGTAGTTTAAAAAAAATGCCTTGTGTTTCTGGTAGCTATAGATAAAGACTGTCTCCTCTTCAGAATACACAGGCTGTGAAAACAAGGCAAAGTTGTTACCTACAGTTTTTCTCCAACAGGAGTTTGAGACAAAGGTTTCTGAAAAGACTGCATTTTCCTCAGCTTTTTTTATTTCTCATTCTGAAAAATAAAGCTGAAAAGGTTTCCAACATACACACTTCCTGACCTCTCATTTGCTGTGAAGCTAACTCCCAGGACCCTAGTTTCTGCGAGTGATTTATTATGTGAGTAATTAATTACCTAAAACCAAGTGTGACAGACTTAAACTGCAAAGCCTGTATTTAGAATGGTGATGCTCTTATTAGCTTTACGTGAGACAATGAAAGATCATAATTTCTACATTTAATACTTTCTATTGGAAACAATTAATTTCTGCCTCCTTCCACAGTCACTTCTATATTGTTTCTTATTTTTTTTGTTTTGTTTTGTTTTTTCCCTATTATTTTTGGAGTGTATTAGATCCATAAGCAGATATGCAGATGCAACATAATTTCAAAGTAATTTTTGTAGTTTGTGTTTTACAGCATGCAAAACTTCCTACCTCTTTTCTACTCGTTTGGTTTTAGGCTGGCGTTTGTCCTCAATAAATGAACTGTTCAGAGCACGATGCAATCTCTAGAGGGAAAAGAAGAAAATAAATTAGTAAAAGCAAGATTAAGACTAGCTCCATAAATAGGTAAAATATTTGGGCTTTATGTGGTGGACCTAAGCATAAATTATTTTGCATGTTCAAGGATACAAGCAATGTCTGTGCTTTGTCATTACAACAGATTTATTTTCCCATGGTTTCCCAAGGAAGGGCAGTCTGAGAGGCTGATAAATAGTTTGCAAGCAATTCCTGGTGTTAGAATTCGTCAGAAAAATTGTGGATCTTGGCAAGTGCCATTAATTTCACCGTGCTGCTTTAAAGTAATAGAAGTGTTTCGTTTTTGCGCCTTTGGCTGCAAAGTAACCTCCTCCTTTAGAGCAAACACCTAGAGCAATTTTCTTCCACGGTTTTCCCTAGAATAACGAAGGAGGCTACCTAGCACTGCCTGCATGCATCAGAAGGTTTGGAGCTTGTAACAGTGGGATATATAAAATGTTCTCGTTAGCCACTTGAGGATAAGAACACTTGTTTCTGGTGTCCACAAGAGCTGTCAGGTTAAAAGTGCAAACAGAAAGGTCTCTTCTGTAAGTTTTGCAATTGTGAATATTTGAACCGTTTCCCGTGTTTCTAGTTCCACCATTAAGTAAGCCTCTCTAAATTCCAGAATCTCCTGTCACACTTCAAATGTCAATCATTCATGCCCCTACAATCTTTTACTCCTTGTTTTTGTCCAGTCTTTCTTAATCACTCACAGAACTTTCACAGGGCTCCTTCTGAATACATACCTGACTTGTATGGAGCCAGTACTTCATCTTGGATTTCTTCCTCATTCGTGGCAGGACCAGTCTGTACATGATGTGTTCCCCAATGGTAGTGAGAATGGACAAGCCGAAGCCAATGCACAACATCACAAAGAGCCCAGAAAAATGTTTTATCCCCATTTGGAGCGTCTGTGAATTAAATCAAAAGGGGAAGTTCATGAAATAAGCTGTTAGTAGTGTCTTTTAAGAGATGCTTCTGTTCTGTCACTTTGGAAATGTGGTCTGACAATAGGGAGTGGTGAAATACTGCAGAAGACTCTGGCTACTGTTCACAACAAAGCCTTTCTGTGCTGCAGAAAGCTCAGTGTTCAATCAGAGCAAAAGACCTGTCATGGGAATGAGAATCAGCCAAAGACCAGACAATTTTCCCCTTGTGCTGTTTCCCTAATGAGACTGTGTTGAACATGTACAAGAATCCAGTATTTGTGGTGTCACTGCATTTGTAGAAACAAATACTGCTTGACAGAATACAGTCAATGAACTGCAGAGCAAGTCCTTCAGCAGCAGTGAGCTACGACCAACTGTTCATATTTTCTTGGAATTGATCATTAACTTCCCCTTTTTGTGCTTTACCCTTCACAGAAGGTCATGGAGAAAATGTCTTGTAGTAGCACAAACACGGGACCTCTCCACTCTCTACATTAATGGGACTGAAATTGTGCTTGTTAGGAACCCTTCTGAAGAAGAGGCACACCCTCACCTTGCTCTGCTGGCCCACCCTTCTCATGCAGGGTAGGAAGCCTTTAATTTGAGTCTCTTACTGGCACTAATTCTGTCTGAAGACCAAGAAACCATCCACAGTCTGTACTACAAACACCTGCGCCCCAGTGGGAAGGCCAGATTTGCAGGTTATGTGTAACCTTAGCACCTTTGCTCTGATGCCTCTGTAACTTGGTTAGGAGTTTATCAGTGACTAAAGCCACTAATAGTTACTGCCTATGGACAACTTTGGAAATACTTCCAAAACCACAAGTTCTACTTGTGCCTTTCCATTAAAGAATGTTATTCCCTAGGTCAGAAAAAAAAAAAAAAAAAAAGCAGGAAATTGTTTGGGTAGTGTTGTGTGTCAGGAGATGGTAGCTGGGGTGCTACCACCCTTGAAAATTGACCTGTGGGTTTCTTCATTTTATTATTGGTTTGATGGGTGGGTGGATGGTGGTGGGGATTGTGCTTTGTTATGAATATAGCTGTGTAATCCAGAAAATAAACTGGATTTAGTCGAAAGATAAATCAGAGAGCATTTGAAAATTCTTGTTATGAGGTCATTTAAGCCAAAGAGGTGATGAGTGACGAGGCCTTTGAAGCTGAAGGCTTTCCCTTCGTGTACTTTTGTTGGGCCACTGTGAGCAGTATTTCTCTCTTCTGGTTTCTGTATTTGATTTCTGTTCTTTAAAACTCAATGATATGAGATAGCATATGACAGATTTTCAACAAGAAATGTTCAGCAGTCTAGCAGAGTGAGAAGTTTTGCACGTGGCATTGGCAATGATCTCTTATTTCAGGGTTTTTCTGCCAAAATTGAACCTGCTTGCCCTGAAGTGCATTAAGCAGAATTTCTGGGAAGAGAATTTTTGTACCAGTGAATAAACAATTCAAGGGTCTTGCAGGGTAAAATGGGGGTGTAAAAGCAATTTCTAAAGAAACTTACTGCCACCTGGAAAGGGAAGTGGAAAACCATGTAGAGTGGATCTGGGATAGAAGGCTCTTTTAAGTCTTGGCACGAGGGTTTTCTGATACTGAGAGTTCATCAGTTCAATCCAAAAGCAAAACTTTTCCTATACTTTGTTCTTTTAGTTGGGGAAACAGGAGGGTCACACAAAACTCACAGCTGCTAATGCTTTAAACCATTCAGAAAACAAGGCTTTTTGGGTATCTGGAGGTCTGTGTTACCTGGCATGTTTCTTTTAACTAGCAGTGAAGCCCAACTTTTAGCCCATGTAGTGTAGAAGTAGAATGAGGCTTCCATGTCTGACCTTTTTCTTAGAAGTCTTCAGAGCCAAGACCTCAGTATGGCACATCTGTGAATTCAGCATGTATAAATTTCTATCAGAAGCTAAAAGATTGCTATCTGTACTAGCTGAGCATAGTTAAATGTGCTTTTGCTAATTCTTCAGGAAGCATTAATGCAAATCACTTGCTTCCCAAAAAGGTTGTTCAAGGGCAAGTATAAAATAACTTCCTTAGAGATGTAGAGTTAACAGTAGCTCTAAGAATAAACTGAATGAGAACCAGAATAATGATTAAAAAAGAAACTGGTTTGCTTAGTCATCTGAAGAACACACCTGTCTGTATATGATATGTGTGTATATAAATATATACATATACATATCTACATGGTCCTGGGCCACTGCTGTTTGGTGTCACATAGAATAGTAAGAGTGGGCATTGCCATAAACTCCCTCAGTGGCAGGAAGCAGTGAATCAGCTGGGTAAAGATTATTTTGTTTGTCATACTTCAAGTATGCAGAAGTCCCCAAAAGCAGGGAGAAGAGTAAAGAGGCCTGATCTGCTAGCATTAGGTTGCTGTATGTAGGGAGCATTAATGTTGTTCTGAGAATAGAACTAGCTTTAATGAAATACAATAAAACTCTAGCCATTCAAAACAATAATTTTAGAAAAGAGACATAGTAGCAATTTCAGTGGGGATTCCTGCACGCATGAGATGTCTCCTCCAGCCTGAGGTCAGTGTTTGATGCCATTCCAGTACTGCTGCAGAGAGAACACTTGGCCAGCTCCTTACATGAAAAATAACTCTTCTTGTCTTCAGTAAAACTGCTCTGATTTATGCTGATGAGGGTCTGGCTCACTGTCCTGTTAGCTCTGCAGAATAGTTTTCTACCTTCCCTGGAAACAGGTGAAAGAAATTCCAGCACTGGCATCTCAGATGCATTTTTCATTTATAATGGATAGCTTTTGAGGTTGTCCCAAACAAGACATCTTTTCCTAGGAAAGCAAATGCCAAAACAAAGCATCAATAATATGTCATCTAGCAATAAAGAAGATAATGCATTGAAAGACCTGCCTGGTAAAGGCTGCAAAGGAGAGGGAGTTTTTTGAGACTAAATTAATTGGGGAAATGCAGTAGGGGAGAAATAATTAGCACAGTCATACAGTGTATGGAGTGATTATTTATAGCACTATCAGCACATTTACGTACCATTTTAAAAGGGCAATTTATCAGTTGTTCATAATTACCATAGACACACACGTTAAATAACAAAGGAAACCATCTAATAGAGGCACTTATTTTCATACCTCCATGCTGATTGCTACCAAGGCAGCAAGCTCTACTACTTATTTTGTAGTTTATGTATGTGTTTGTAGGTGCAATGTATATGTTTGGGAAGTGCAGCAATAAACTAGAATCTCTGTATTCCTCTCTGATGAAGTGCTAGGGGTCAGGCGTGTGCGTTAGATCTTTGCTGCCAAGAGAAAACCAACTGATAACTTTCTCTACTGCAATCATCTTATTTTCCTTTTTTATGTTAATTTTTTTCATAACATGGTATATTCTCTGCTAACCCAGGATAAAAATAACAGTCCTTGCTCCAACTCTGTAATCATAAATTCAAAAGGTAGCTCCCTGCATTTTTGGAGAAGGAACTCAAATTAGGCCCATGTAGTGGTTCTGAAGCAATAAGCACCCTTAGTCTATCCTGGGATAATTACAGCTAACGGGTGCTAAGCACCACGCTGGCAACAGACTCCAAGTTACTTGTTGTTTGCAGATTGGGAAATTGTCAGTTTCTGAAAAACAACAAATACAAGAACAGAAGTGGTGGTATCTGCTTTTTTATATATCCTTGGAGAGACTTTTCTGATTTATCAACCCGTATCTGCAATTGCTGCCTAAACAGGTCCTCCTGTCTCCTCTGTCGTTACAGACTTTTTCTTTGGGTCCTGAACAGAAGGAAGGGGATGCAGAGAAGATAGTTTGGTGTTAGTGTTAAGGGGCTAGCAGAGACAAAAAGCAACACTCAGTGGTTTCATCACTGGACTCCATAGGCAAAACTCCTGCTTTACTGCCTACTACAAAAGACTTATAAATGCTTCACTCTCCCTGGCTGTACTGAGAGCAGTGAGTAAGTCATCAAATTTGGCATCAAATATGCCAAATATAGTCAATAGCTTTGACAAATGAGAAGCCTCTAAAGATTTTCGTGGGTACTTTGCAGGCTGGCAGCACAGCACAGGTATTGGTGCTACTCTGCTGAATCCAACACTAAATATGGATATTGTGTTTATTAGCTATAATAATGAGCTATCCTTTTTTGATAGCATTTTCCCCTCAAGGATTTTAAAAAGCTGTGCTGAGATCAGGAAGTTAAATTCTGCAGCGCCTCTGTGAAGAAGGAATTATTTCCAGCTTTACTAGGGATAAATGGATAAGAAGGGCAGCTTTCTAGACTCATTTGGGCATCTCAGTAGGTTTTCAAAATCTAACCAATGCTGTATGTGTTTAGGTAAATAAGCAGTATTGAAACCTGTCCCTGTCTCCAGACTCTGGCATTCCTTGTAGCTGCAGAAAGTCTGTTATTTATTTATTTACTTATTATTAGTTCTTATGCCTTTCTGTGCTTTCAAAGAAGTGGCAGCAATGAAGTAATATATATATAACTTCTTTAGAGGGATGATCCTTAGCAAAGACCAGTGACTGTGGCTTAAGGGTTTCATGTGCCAGACTTCAAGATAGTGTAAATCTCACATTAGCAAGGCAAGTTTATTTTCTCTCTTGTTTTGAGGACTTTTTCACAGTTCTGGAACAATACTCCATTTTGTAATAAATCTTTGTCTTTCAACTCATCTATTTTCTGAGCCCTTTCCATAGTGGGAAGAAAAACAATACACATATATCACCCAAATGAGGTACTGAGAAGATGTTTGCTTCTGTCCTATTGCAGGCTAGTAAATTGGGAGCAACAGCTTTGTCTCCTTAGATACAGTGAACTACCTTTTTTTTACCAGTTTTGACAGATCAATCTAAATCTGTTACTCATTCCCAGGATCCTCAGAACATGCTTCTCCTGATTCTGTTGTCAAGACTCAGTATTCATACACACCCTTCTTCAGGATCGTTGTGGAAAGTACTTTTTCCTAGAGCAAGTCCAGGTGCCATTGGTTCTCCCCACACTGAGACAACCCCTTTACAAAGCAATGTCTGTCATTTTGTGATAACCTTCTTCATAATGTTCTCAGTCCTCCAGTGGGCAAGGACCAGCTCTCCTCCCCAGACAGTACATGTGCAGACTGAGTAAATTGTCTTGGCAGAAAAGTCTTTTTTTTCCTGTTCCTTGTGTTTGTTTTCCACACACTGGCAACAGTGCCCTGTGAGAGGTGACTGATGGACAGGTTTATTTGTGAGCACAGGGCAGTTCATTCGCTGTGTGGAGGGCTCTGCATGGCCTTCCCTTGACACGTGCACTGCCCTGGAGACAAACCTACAAACCAGAGCTTCAGGGTAATGGCTAGAAGGCTGACTGTTGAGTAGTCAGGTGGTTAGTATAACAAAAGCGTAAGCTAACTTTTGACCTTTAGTGAGACTAGGCAAAACAAAGGCACAGTTTGCTGGAGATAACTGGATAAACTCATGGCAAGATAAAGGAGACACTGTCTGACTGCAGATCCCGGGTGATGCCAAGGCCAAGCATCTCCAAGCCACAACAGGTCAAGTTTGAGCAAGTTTCTCCAAAGACTCCAGAAAGCAGCTGTTAGTGGATCCCACCACTGATGAGAGAACAGGAGAGGATGTGTCAAGGATTAAGGCTTTTGGCTTGCCACTGAACAAATGACAGATGCTCTCTAACAACACCCCTCCATTCCCAGAACGGGAAGAGGAAGGGAATAAGGGAGAGAGCCTTATAGGTTGGAAAAAAAAATCCTAAAACAGCTTCAGTGTTAACAGTAACAATAAAAAGAGAAGATAATAATAAGACAATAATAATATACATGTAAATATATACAAATCCAGCACTGAATTATCCCAAAGTCCAGGCCGGACTCAGCAGCAGTTGCAAATGGATTCAGGAACTGGACTCAGTAACTGGATTCAGGAACTCACAGACTGGGATCAGAGGCAGAATAGATGGAGTCCTTGGGCACTAGACACATAAAAAGAGAGCTCGATTCTCATGATCCCTCAGCTTTATACTGAAGGTGATGTATATGGTATTAAACACCTTGTTTGTCAGTTAAGGGTCACCTGTCCTGGCTGCTCCTCCCTGCACGTGTGGCCTTTTTACTTACAACCCTTTCACTTACAGCACAGCGCCCACTGTGGCACACAAGATGTGGCAGTGGCCATGATTTCTAGATGAGCAAGCATAAGCAGGAGCCCTTCTGCGTAAGCCAATAGTGTGTGTGGTAGCAACTGCAAACATGGAGTGTTACCGCTGCTAGAAGCAGACACTGTCTGCAAAAATCTACTGTTAACTTCAGCATCTGCAGTCGGTTAGAAGAGACCTAGCTGAGAGGTAAAATCACTGAATGGAAAATTGGTTCTGTTCCAACTCAGACCAGGACATAATGGGAGGACTTTGTTCTTGCTGTGTGCCTGGTCTGGATCAGAAGGAAGCCCACGGTCACTGCCCAGTCCCTACCACTAGCAGCATGGACCTCCACCTCAGGCAGTGGCAGGGGGTGCATGGCACTGTGCCTTCCACGGCGTCACCAGCGGCGGTGAGAAGTAGTGGGTCTGCAGTAACAGTGTCAGTTTGGGACACTGTCATTTGTGTGGCTGCAAATATGGTTATTATAAATGTCAGGTTAGATGCTGTTTGTGTGAAGCATCAGTAAGTTGTTGATATTAATAGCTGGGGTGTTGTTATGTAATAAGATATGATTCTGTATTGGTTGTTAGCTGAATAAACTGCCAGCCTATGTGCAGTCTCTAAGTTCTAGAGCTTCAGCTGTCCTGTGACAATTGTGAATAGAGAGCACAAAAGCCTTTTAAGTGAAACATAAGATACTGTGTCAATAATAATGTTTTTAAAAATGTAGTTTAAAGGCTGTGAAACAGTCTGTAGGCATAGTTAGCTCTTCCCAAAGCCTGACTACTCCCTGTACAAGGAGATTTCTTCTCTTTCATACTGTCTTAAGAAAGCACAGTGTGCCAGCTCATCTCCTCTGGACCCTGCCCTGATCATTACTGTCTCATCTGAACAGTCAAAACCAGTGCTAATTGACAGGCAATGTGCCTGTTCAGCCCATCCACCCTGCCTGCTGTCATAGTGACTTAGTGCTGTAGCTGTTTCACTACCATGAGCAGAATACTGCAAAGCTGCCAATTCACTGTATTTTGGTTCCCAAAATTGCCACAGAAAGAATCTGCAGCCTCTACTGGGCTTGGGTGGAGCTAATGTGCTGGAGGGGAAAGTCCTAGAAGCCTGGCCCCTGCTGAAGTGGCATTAATGAGAGCAGCTAGTGCAGAGGAAGGGACAAGAGTATTGTATGAGAACTGAAAACAAACAACAGTGATTATGTCTGGATGGAGTGTGTGCAAATGTGACTCTGCCCACCTCACTTTCCTCCTGCACTACACTCTGCTCTCAGTAAGACTTAGCAAATTTACAACAAAGAAACTCTTGAGACCAGAGCATGACTACTGTAAATCAAGAGTACTCAAGTGATATTGCTGGCAGCTAGCAATCAGCATGAACAGCCTCTCCTACCAACAATTACATGTGACGGAGAGGGTAAGATGCAATTCACTGCAGCAATTCATTCCAAGTTTGGGTTAGCTGCATCCCTATTGATGATCCAATGAGCACTGGCCAGGGTAAGCTGCCTTGGGCCTTTGCTGAAAAGGTTCATACAAAACAATGGAGTCAAGCCGTACTGACCTCTGCACTTTCAAACTCAGTTTGATTTGGTTTCTCAGCTTGAGGATTCACTGCAGATTTTCCAGCCCCACTCTCAGTCATGTCTTTCCACGACAACTTTGTTTTAAAATGCAATTTGCAATAAGCACAGTGCTGGTGAGAGAGATGGAAAGAGCTAGCAGTGATGTCTGCCACAGGAAATATAATTTCCCAGTGTAAGATTAGAAAAAAATAAGAAGTAGAAAGACGCCTCTCCAATCTAAAGAAAAATGAACCTCAGTGGGCAGGAGTGGCAGGTGTAAAAGTATCAGGTACAGCCTAAAGAGGTAATGACAAAAAAAAGAAGATGGATGTTTTAGCCATTTAAAGACTATACTGATCAATTTCATCTACGTATATTCCCATTTTTGGGTCATGACTCTTAGTCAGCAGCTGAAGTGTGTCACAGAACAAATTCATCAAAAAGACACAGAAAAGTACAAAGCCTTTCTTCAGCTATCAAAAGGCAATTGAAGGGTCTTAGCTGGTACATAATCCGTGTGAATGACTACCCACTTAGGAGCTGCGACTTTTTCAACATGAATTATCTGCTTCTCTGTTGAACATTGGCCACACTTCAGTGAATCTGTTGAATGTTACTGTAACTGACTGCATGGAGTTAAATAATGGAGATTTTGGGGCTGCACAGGAGTAAAAGATACAAACTGACATAAAGATAAGACCAGGAATACTTCCTGTGCTTTTTGAAGTAATGATAGGGAAACTTTGCTTTAGAGAGTGACCACTGTTTAGTTTAATAAGTTTGTCCCAGCTGTGAAGCTGCAAATTTTAAAATCTGCAAGCTCTTGGCCAAGATAAGTGGATGAAGAGGAGGGGGTGATCATGGGAAAAGCAGTAGAAGAATTCAGGAAAAGGAAGGTCTGGACTTAACGGAGTTTACCCCACACCAGCATAGACAAGTGGTCTTCTGTTTCTGCTCACTCTTTCTGATTGTGTAAGGCCTTGGAGGATGTGAGGATTTCTTCAAAGACAGTCGTCTGAGTGACGTTTTAGAGTCCTTCAGTTCAGTCACCTGAACCAGCCTGTGGGACCTTGGCCTCTGGAGAAAAACTCACTTGTGTGCGTTGGGTTAGCACAGCTGAAGACCAAATAAGGACTACAGCCAAACAACCAGCCCCAGAGCAACCAGACCTGCCTTCCATTCTGGCCACCACGTGGAGGCTACACTGAACAGGCTGACTGGAGCACAGCATGTCTTCCAGCTGTGACCTCATGCTTCAAGCCTCCTGCTGTCCAACACTGACAGACCCTGTAGATGGTGATACACATAACTGAGTGAAATCAGATGGGTTTGTTGCGCAGTGTGCCAGATCACATTTTTTAATGCTACGTGACGTGCCCGTTTGTCTCCAGAAGTGCCCTCTGATGCATGCACTGCATCCCTAACTTAGTAGCACTCTCTTGCTGATGTCTTTAATGTGCTCTGGTCTGAGCGCTGCTGGGCTTAACATCTGGTTTTGAAGCTCAGTGCTTCTCTCCAGCTGCAGCTGGTCTCTGTCACAGGTGTGTGTCTCCTGCACCCTGTGAGGGACAGGCAGCAGCGGGTGTCCTGAGCAGATCCCTGTTTATGTGGCCCCGGCTCATCGCTTACCTCTGTGACGGCAAAGCTTCTCTTCCCACAGGGGACAACCTTGTACCACTTGTCGTGCAGAACGTCCATGAAACCATGGGACTTGTATTGGCTTATCAGTTCAGAGATGTTTGAGGTGAGCGGAGAGTTGGGGGGAAGACCAATGCCATAGCCTAGGAGGAAAACCAGTACAATCATCTCTCTATTATGTCTTTGGGGTTTTTTTTGCTAAACTACATTCATTTCAGTTACCAACTACCAGTGTGACTGACTTGGCATTCTGTTTCAGCAGGCCAGTTCAAACCTGGCTGCTGGCTTACTGTGGACTGACAATGAGACTTCTTGCTGTTTAAGATAAAGTAGCCTTATAAAAACAGAATAGGCAAACTCAAAATTATTAAGACCAAGAAAATAGTATGTAAAATTGGAAGTTCAAAAACTGAAGAAGGAGATACAGACAGATGAACAAATCTGTCATCTTTCTAGAAAACACAACCTTTTGGATGTCCTTGCCATGGATTCTTCTTTTTTTACCTTGTTTTAGCAATGCAGAGGGCCTTAATGTCAAGTAAACTATTCTGTAACCCCATTATATTTTTAGCTCAGTGGATGTGACTGTGGTGTCAGATGTGACATTTTCTTGCTATGTATTTTCTGATGAGGAGCTGTGTGCATGGAAATGTATATGAGAACAGTTTGCATTGTTGGCAGAGAGCAATTTAAAGCCCAGGGGCTATGCTTTCCATTTCTGCAGTTCTGCTCCAGCAGTGACATGCACCTTCAGATAGTAATAGAGTTACTAGCTGCTGTGTTGTCTTTTGCCACCTTAAAGTGCATGTAAAGGTCTGAGAGTAGGTGAAAATGCATTCAGTAAGTCTAAATATGGTCTTCCAGACTGCAGAATATAGATTTAGACCTTAGAAAAACAAATATTTAAACAAAGGTTTAAATAGGGCCTGCAAGACATGCAGCTCCATGCAGAGATGTCCTGACAACTGTCTGCAGAGCTTCCCTCCTCATCTACCACAGATTTCTATTTTTCAGTTCAGAATTCAAAATTTCAGACTGTCTCCTTTAAAACAAAACAAAACAAAACAAAACAAAACAAAACAAAACAAAACAAAACAAAACAAAACAAAACAAAACACAGGAAGAAAGAACATCACCTCCCTCCCCCTAATGCACCTGACTGGTAAATCTGCCATCGCAGTAGCTTCGTTTTTCATGATGCAAAGTGATGTGGTGGTACGAGTACCTACAACACAACAGCCTCCCTTGCTGCTGATTATTGTACACTGTGCTTATATGCCACCTGGATGTCTTTGCTAACATTGAAGGAATGGTTTCAGAGAAGGCACAGCTACGCTTCATGAATACCACATTTTCATCCTATTTAAGTGTTTTGTAATTAGGTGACATAAAGTCCAGTTATGTAAAGAAATAAGTTGTTTGTTTGTTTGTTTGTTTGTTTTCTGTGTTAGAATTTGCTTTACTTGATTCAAAGTTGTGAAGTTCATGTTTTACTTCAGTAGAGCTGACCTTTCTTCTGAAATGGAAGCTTTATCAGGTCGCAAGCACATGGTGGAAGATGCAGAGGCACACACGCAAGCCCTGCTACAGCCTGAACTGCTCTCTCTGCACCTGTCCTCCCTGATAGCACAAAGAAGAAAATGGATTGTTTTCAAGTCTCTGATGTGAATTCAGATGGGAGGCACTGATGAGGTATGGCAAAAAGGAGCGTTCTACAAAATGCCTAGTGCTGGTGACTTGTCGCTGAAATGATTAAAATGCTTATCTTACTCTGGCCTTCATTTAGGATATTGCCTTCCTCAATCAGGTTTGAGGCTTTTCTAATGTGCGATGGGAGCGGCCAGAGTCATTGCCCTTGGAGGGGAGGAAGGAGGGAGCTTCAATCATTTTCATTGGCCATCCATCACAGAAGTGATTCCTGAAGTCTAATTGCTGATGAGCTCACCCATGCTGCTGCAGACGGCTCCAGACAAGCCTTGCCCCCAGGCTGCCTTCCGACCTGTCCTTGCTGATACACCCGGGCTCCGGGAGGCTGCAGACCAGGGTGGGCTCCCTCCTCTAGCTTCAATTAGCTACACAGTTAGCGGGAACCTCAAGCTGCCCTTTAAAACGGGAACAGTATTTATCTGCTTCAGATGAAACTGTAGAACAGCATTTTGAACATGCTCCACTGAGATCTGAACACGTGTACTGACAGGGAGCCTACAAACAGCAAGCCCCATTTCAGGAGCTACTTTTCATTGTGAGCAGTGAAATGGACTGTGCCTCCTACTTGTCTGGAGATGGGCTCCCTGACCTCTTCAAATAACTCCTGGATAGACCATGGCAACAGATAGTACAAGTGAATTGAAAGCTCAAACCCCCCCTGAAAGGGTGAAACCTCTGTTCTGCTTAATCACTCAGAATTTTACAGTAATCTTCAAGGGTTTCACAGTTTCACTTGCATACTTTAGCTGAGAATATTAAATCACAATAAAGCAAATGCAACGCATGAGAAATAGAGCAATATTTTATAAAACTGATTATTACCTTCAATGGCAAAAGGTTTTCCCACAGTTAGAAGCTTGCAGTCAGCATCTATTGATACTTCATAATCTAAGAGTGCTTTATCCATGATGAAGGCATCGAGTTTCTCTGGATCATGCCTGTATTCAACATCAGAGTCAGAAAGAGAATCTTTTCACAGTCCAAGACTCAGTAATGTTCACTGAACACTTATCTATACAGTTTTCTGGCAGATTGTCAAATGAAAAGAGACCAGGGACTGCTGTTTTAAATCTAAAAGTGATTTGTATTTTCCATAGCAGAATTGTGCATGAAATACAAACCTGATGCACCTACAGCAGTGTAGGACTTATTTTTCTTCCATGAAATACTACTAATCTGAAAGATGGAAAATACTACAATATGTTACACTTGACTCAATTGAAAGGTAGCACAAAGCTTTTTTGGAAAAACAAAACAAAACAAAATTGCTGAAGTGCTAGTGCTGTCTTGGTTTCTTTGTGATGCTAAAGTTGTGGTCACTGGAGAAAAAATGCAGGAGGATAACTCATACAAAGGTGTTTCTCCTCCTTTCTCCTTGAATATGAGGTAAATTAATTTCCTTCACCTGGCTCAGGTCTTCTCTGTGTTCAGCTTTCATGAACACAGAGGACTGAATTTTACTAACGCAATAGTTAAAATAAAATAGTTGAAAAGCATGCCTGCATAAAATGATGATATGAAAGAACAGTTGCAGTGCCTGTTCTCATCCAGGGACTGCACCCTTGTCACCTTAAAGGTCTAGGTGTTCACCTGATATGAAGTTACATTACTTCATTGACTTCAATAGATTGATTTCAGCTTAACTCAAAGGAACTGCCATTATCTTAATTATCATTAGAATGGGTCTGAGAAAAATACCTAAACGGAAGACAACTTCTAGTGAAAAATTCTCAAGCCATCTGTTACTCAGCTTTTATGTGTAAAATGAATGAATTATTTTGGGCTTATTATCACCTCTCCCATTTACTGGCAGAGTCAATCAGTTAGTTGTGTGACCCTGGATTGTTAGGCACAAATGTCTCTGAAACACAGTGATACCATGACTCCCTGAAGCAAGAAGACTTGGTGTTTATTACTTTTTACCAGTCTACTGCTTCTTTTATTCATTTTAATGATAAATGCTTTAAGGTTTCTCTCTGAGACCCTTCTCCCCTCCCAGCATGCTGAAAATGCTGAGGAACCTCATTTGCAGCTTTTGCTTGGACTGTGATTTTTTTTTCTGAATGTTTCTCATTGCCTGATGAAGGGTCCCAAGCACAGAAACCTGCCAGGACTTCTACACTGCCCGTGCTTGACGGCACCTTAGCAGTCAGTGCAAAGTACTGCCTCCCCTAGAAACACTCCAGCTGGTGCCACGCTAGCGTGCTCTCCAAGTGTCTCTCCCTCCAGGTGACTATGTGCTTTCTGCTCTGTCTGCCATACTCTCTCCAACAACTGCTTTGTGGGACAAGTGACGCCGAGCGTGGGGAACCCCTCACCACCTCACAGCCGTGCACCCTGGCCCAGGGGCAGGCCTGGTGCTGCATGCAGAGGCTCACTTCAGGTACGCCACTCCATCCGGGGTGGCGGGCACGTTGTACCGCCGCATGTACTCGTGCATCTCTGGGAAGCTCTGTCTGACGTAGTCTTCTGCGCTGCTTTCCCTCACCGTGCCGAACCGAAACCCTTGGGATGGGTGGTGGAGCTGAGGAGAGGAAGTTACAGGTTTAGCAAAATCATCTTTCTCCTTCACAACTGGTATCTTGCTCTTACATGTGAACAGTTTGTCAGAAATTCTCAGCCTTCAGAGACCTGCCTCTGATGTTTCCCTGCAGTCAGCTTTCTGTATCACAGGAAAAGTTTGAAAAGATTTACCAGGTGGCTGATTAGCCTGTTTGTTTACTCTCAGGATTTTCTTCAAATGTGAAAAACGTCTTCCTGGAGACACCTTGAACCCTCAAATCTAGGTGTTTAGTTGGAAATAGCCTCTAAGGCTTGATAGCCACCTTCTGCGGCTCCAGGAAGGTAGTGAAGGACCCAGTCTCAATTTGTTTCAGCAGAATGTCTTTTACTGACTCCTTAAGGATAAGATTCAGTTTTCTGCAGAAAGGTAGCACCATCGTTTCATTCCTAGAAGCTCAGACACCATACCACAGACTGCTGCTGCCTTTGCTGCCATTCTCCACAGAATGGCAGAGAAACTAAGGACTGAAGTGTTGCCAGGGAGAAAAGTCTCCTCTGGCAGTAAGGAGGGAGTATACCCCTCAGTATAGCCCGGGCTGTAAGCTTGATTACCAGGCTATGCGTATACAATTTTTGCAGTTCTGTGTCCTTTCCTTTTCACAACTGGCCTCACCTTCTGTATTAAAGCCCCGAGGAGTTTGGGTGTTCACTAGTTTCACAGACCTCTGTTTCTAAAATACTGTTTGTCTTTGGAGTGCTTAGTGACATGGGGACAAAATTCTCAAATTGCAGTGGAGGTGTCAGGCAGTGTCCTCTACCATGCCAAGCACTTCTTGAGATGGCCAAGTGTTGCCAAAACTAATTGGAAAGCCTTCAGCAATGTACCACTCTCTAAAAGGTCAAACTTTCAGAGAACAGGCAGCCAAATGGAGTTAATGCTTTAGTAATCATGCTCCATTTGCTTCCCAGGAAGCTCATGGTCTTCACAGCAGCTTGCAAAGATGATCTCACCATGGCCATGTTCTGTTTTGCAAAGACCAAGCAAAGAGGCATTTTGCCAGTCCATCTGGCTCTCCGCACTACCATCTGTATAAAACAGAGTAAGGCAACACAAAGATGTACAAGAGACCTTTCCTACTCTTCTCTTCAATGAACCCATCGATGAAGCAGTATTCCTAGCTTTTTCAAGCGTAGCAAAGGTAGCACAGTCATCTAGTTCAGCCTGAAAAAGAACAGGAGAAGGCCTATTTTGATGTTCTGAAAACATTGAATATACTGTATTCCTGCTAATTTTTAATGGGAAAGTGGGCAGGTGCTTTCCACGTTGTGCTCTACTGATCTGGTCCCTGTGTTGCAACCCAGGGATGAGATCTGTGGGTAAACACAAGACTGTGGGCATGGAGGGAGTCTTGGCATCTTTTCTGAGGTGTTCTGGTCTAAATAACCTTGGGATGAGCCATGCAGGGTGTGCCTCCACCCAGAGCTGGCCACAGCACATGCTGTGCCAGAAGGACTGTGGGTGCAGAGGGAAATGTTCTTGCCTGGAAGCGTGGAAGCAGCACTGAAGTGCCAGAAGACATAAATAACAGAGAGCTGTGCTGTGGCAATGCAACATGGAGACTTTTCAGCACAATGCTGTCAACTCAAATCTAGCTCTAGTCCTAAGATGCTGAAGATGACCTGCTTAAAGACTGAGCTTGGTGTGGGCTCTGCGGGCTCTGTGTCCCAAGAAGCTCTTCACCACAGTCAGTACTATTTTCTTAGCTTTTATTTCTTGGCAGTTTCAGTGAAGAGACTGAAACACCCACTGACTCTCAACACTGAACAATACTGCCACCTTCCAAGTCAGCTTAGGTGTTTGTTGTGGTCCTGTGACCCATGCAGTGATGCCAAGTGCAGAGCAACATCTGATCTGCAAAGACCACTGATGTCTGACTTCAGTTGAAAGTATCCCTCACTTAGACTGCCACCACTGTCTACACCTAGCTAGATTTAAGTCTCTAGGGGAAAGGCTGGTACAAAAGAGAGAGTAAATTGCATCTCCACATGATAATCTGTCCCAAATGCTTTATTGAGAAATGCCTATCTTTGCTTTGGGCACATTGTCAAACTTCACCACAGATGATGACATTAGAATATATATTAGATCACAAGTCCCACTGGCTTAATATCCTGTCTCAAGCAACACCAGATGTCTGACGGGAAGTCTTGGAAAGACTATGTAAGGAAGTTACCTAGTGATCCTTTGCATCCTATGCTCTGTCTGCTTCTGGTAATCTATGTTTTTCCTTAAACATAATTATGTGTCTGCAACTTTGTATTTGATGACTCCTTTTACGAAGGGTAAATCTTAATAGTGTTTTAATCCCCTGTGTCTTTTGGGACTTCTATTTTCTTCCTGCTGCTGCTTATCCACATGAGGAAAAGGTTTGTTTGCAGCTGTATGAATACTGAACAATACAAAATGCTGCCAAAAGCAGATAATGGATTACCTGCACTACCTTCACTGTTAATTTACTAACATGTCTAAGAGTTAGTCACTCAACAGAAGATAAAAACTTCAGGATGGAAACAACTCATCAGTTGTCACTGCTGCTCTCTTACTTTCTGTAGTACTCCCCTGGGAAGATTCTGTGGAAAAATGAAAATCATAGATGTCTACGCCCTGACAGGATAGGTAAATATTACATTATTGTCTTGCTGTGAGTCTTGCCCTATTGGTTGTCTCTTTTTTAATTTATCTTTTCTAGTTCTCATGCTGCTTCTTTTGTGTTATATTTTAAGAGTCCTATTTTGAGAGAGTCTTTCTGTTTTCTTTAAATCAGTAACAGAATCCTAATGCCAAAATCTTCAAAGAAATCATGAACTGACAAACCAGCACTTCAAGAGTCACAATTTAAAGAATCAAGAATGGATTATGTTTTTTTTTTTTTTAACTGGTGATCTGGGGGAGACAGTTACTTACTGTTTTATCAGTAATAGCAAATATAAAAGCTATCTTATTGAGAATAAATAGCTGTTCCAATTATTGTCACTTCTAGTAGTGGAGACTACACTTCTATGTATAGTGTGTTTTTTCACTCCAAGCTCAGTCAGTGTGAAAGGTGAATACCCGTCGTGAAGCAGGTAACGGGCGCTAGGAACTTCTGACACCTTTGTATCCATAGAGTGCCTGGAAATTTCCTAGTGATTCAAGTATAATAATAATAATAAAAAAAAAATTTAAAAAAAAAATAAAAAAAAAGGCAATAGCTGCAGACCCACCTCCAGACATGAGTTTTCTTGGCACACAAGGTACCTTACAAGGTCCCTCCAAAATCAGACACCTATGGCTGTAAGAAAGCAAAAGAATAAGATTTTGTTTGACCTAGAAAGAGGCTTTCAGGGGACAGTGAAGTCCTGGCTTGAGAATTCATTGAACAAGATGTGAAGATAGTTATGGGTACAGATGATATACCCCTCTTTATTCTTCTCTTTAGCTGCCAGACCTTCCTGTTGAAGACGTGGGAGCAGAGGAAAACTCTCTCAAGAAACCTCTCAGTTTCACACCCGAAGCACCGGTGTACCATGACTGGCCACACTGCTTAGGTGCAGCCCAGATTTCCAAAACCATCTCCCCAGTCTACTGTGAGAAAGCTTTTGCATATGACGTTGTGAGACACGTGGTGACTCCCATTTGGATCTGGGTTAGTATGTGGGGCAAAGTCAAAAGATGGTCACGAGTGCCCTCATAGCAGAGGGATGTAGTGCCAGAGCTGGCTGAACACCAGTCATCTTGAATTGGTACTCTGACTTCACAGGTTCAGGGCTGTGGAATGACAAGACCAGAGGATCTTGCTGCATAGCTCAGGGACAGAAGGTTCAGGAAGATGATCAACTCCTGTGAAGACAGAGTTCTTGGAAGAGAGGACTAGGAAATGCTTCTGGGAAATGCAAGATGAAGGCGCAGGAGAAAGGCTAAAAAGCTTTCTAAGTGAGCATGCTTTCTGGAAGTGGGGTATCAATGCTGTCCCTGTGACCTCTAAGGACAGTATCTGCTGTGGGATGCATGGGCTGTGCCAGTACTTCAAAGAATAAGTCTCATTGTTTAAGAACACAAATAAGGGGCAACGTTTTCTTACACTAAGAAAACAAGGGTTAAGGTGAATGCCTTCAATTGCTGAGGAGGAGAAATGGTTATTGGGTCACTTGAGCACTGAGAGAGGGAGATCAGGTAGTTTTTAAGGAAACTCAAGAGCTCTGCAGAACATCCAGCTTCTCTCACAGTACCAAGAAAAGCTTTTGGACTTTGCTCAGAGTCTTCTGTACCTTGTATAGCATTCTGCTACCAGACAAATTATGTTTGTGCTGCTTACTCTCAAAAGCAAATACTGCAGCTATCAGTTTCCTTGGCTTGGCACCTTACTTCTAGACCTTGCTTTCTGTCTTCTGTTGTTAAAACATCTGCTGAGTGGGAAGCGGAGAACTTGTTTTATTTGGGAAGATGTTGACAAGAATTTGGCATCTGCATATATCTATGGCTTGGGGTACAAATTATGCATGAAAACACCAATGTGATAAAACCACAGCAGCAGAAACAGGAAAATACAACCCTGAATGTCAGTGATTTTGCATTACTTGGCACATTCCAGTTTATGTAACACAGTGCCATTGCATTTAGTGCCATCAGCTAGGCTGAGAACACCTGGTTGCAGACTCGAAAAAAATCAGGCATAGAAATATCCTATGCAAGTTGGGATTTAAAACTGAAAATGCACGAGGTGCTGCCAGCAGTTATTCTTGACATACTCCAAAGTTGGGCTGTTGGGTTTTGAGGTCTTTCTAGCAGGTTCTGGCTTCTATATGACCTTCCAGTGCTGCAAAGCTAGAAGATATTGATCAAAGACTTTCCCCCCCTTGGTGCACTGCTGTTAGAGCTACTACCATTCTGAGGTTTGCATCACACGTGGTTGTTGTTTATTTTGCTGCACTGTTGTGTGTGTTGACTTAGACAGTCACACAGTTTGTAAGAACCCAAGGTGT